TCACCTCACCTCACCCCACTCTACCTCATACTACGTCACTTCACACCATCTCACCTCATCCCACATCACCTCACCTCATCTCATCTAATCTCGTCTTATCTCACCTCACCTCAACTCACCTCACCTCACTCTACCTCATACTATCTCACCTCACCTCGTCTGACATCACCTCAGCATACCTCACCTCACCTCATCTCACCTAACATCACCTCACCTCACGTCACCTCACCTCGTCTCACGTCACCTCACATCACCTCACTTCAACTCATCTCACCTCACCTCACTTTACTTCACCTCACTTCACCTCACTTCACCTCACATCACATTGCCTCACCTCATCTCACCTCATCTCACCTTCATCGTATCTCACCTTGTCTCACCTCACCTCACCTCACCTCATCTCATCTCATTTCACCTCACCTCACCTCACCTCATCTCATCCTACCTCACCTCACCTCACGGTTATCGTATCGCACCTTGTCTCACATCACCTCACCTCACCTCATCTCACCTCACCTCATCTGGTCTCGTCTCACCTCACCTCACCTCCTTCTACCTCATACTACCTCATCTTACATCATTTCACCTCACCTCACCTCACCTTACCTAACTTCATCTCACATCAGCTAACCTCACCTCACCTCAACTCAATGGGTGGTTGGTGAGTGCTCTGGTGTGGTTTGCTTCTTCTTTCCTATCAAACATCTATCGTCCTTATGTCTCCTTCTTCTTGTTTATGTTTGTTACTCTCTTGTATCACCTCTAATCTTGTGGCGCTCACATGACCTTATGCAGCTGCGAGCGCCGTAAAAACCTCTACTTAAACAAAAAATCACCTCACGTAACCTCACCTTATCTCACCTCACCTCACCTCACCTAACCTCACCTCACCTCACCTCATCTCACCTCACCTCACCTCACCTCACCCCCCAGGTCAGAACATGTTCTCGTCTCACCTCAACTCACCTCACCACATTGCAGCCCATCTCACCTCACCTCACGTCACCTCATTTTGTCTCGCCCAACCTCACCTCACCTCACTTCACCTCATCTCGTTTCGTCTCACCTCACCTCACCCCACTCTACCTCATACTACGTCACTTCACACCATCTCACCTCATCCCACATCACCTCACCTCATCTCATCTAATCTCGTCTTATCTCACCTCACCTCAACTCACCTCACCTCACTCTACCTCATACTATCTCACCTCACCTCGTCTGACATCACCTCAGCATACCTCACCTCACCTCATCTCACCTAACATCACCTCACCTCACGTCACCTCACCTCGTCTCACGTCACCTCACATCACCTCACTTCAACTCATCTCACCTCACCTCACTTTACTTCACCTCACTTCACCTCACTTCACCTCACATCACATTGCCTCACCTCATCTCACCTCATCTCACCTTCATCGTATCTCACCTTGTCTCACCTCACCTCACCTCACCTCATCTCATCTCATTTCACCTCACCTCACCTCACCTCATCTCATCCTACCTCACCTCACCTCACGGTTATCGTATCGCACCTTGTCTCACATCACCTCACCTCACCTCATCTCACCTCACCTCATCTGGTCTCGTCTCACCTCACCTCACCTCCTTCTACCTCATACTACCTCATCTTACATCATTTCACCTCACCTCACCTCACCTTACCTAACTTCATCTCACATCAGCTAACCTCACCTCACCTCAACTCAATGGGTGGTTGGTGAGTGCTCTGGTGTGGTTTGCTTCTTCTTTCCTATCAAACATCTATCGTCCTTATGTCTCCTTCTTCTTGTTTATGTTTGTTACTCTCTTGTATCACCTCTAATCTTGTGGCGCTCACATGACCTTATGCAG